TTGAGGTGCGATCTCCTGATGAAGCTCTTCCCGCAGACCGGGCAGGGGTAGGGCTTCTCCCCGGTGTGGGTCCGCTGGTGGGCGATGAGGTCCGAGCTCTGCCCGAAGCTCTTCCCGCACTCGTGGCACTTGTAGGGCTTCTCCCCCGAATGCCATTTCTGGTGTTTAACGAGGCTGGATTTATTGCAGAAGAACTTCCCGCACTCGGAGCAGTGGTAGGGCTTCTCCCCTGTGTGGAAGCGTTGGTGGGTGATAAGGTCCCCGCTCTGGCCGAAGCTCTTCCCGCACTCGGAGCACTCGTAGGGCTTCTCCCCCGTGTGCAACCGCTCGTGCCTGAAGAGCCCGTACCTCCCCCGGAAGGACTTTTCACACTGGGAGCACTGGTAGGGCTTCTCCTCGGTGTGCGTTCGCTGGTGGATGGTGAGCTCCGATCTCCGGGCGAAGGTCTTCCCGCACTCGTGGCAAGCGAAGGGTTTCTCCCCCGTGTGTACGATCTGGTGGGTGAAGAGGTTGGACCGTTGGCTGAACCTCTTCCCGCACTCGGAGCACTCGAAGGGCTTCTCCCCCGTGTGAATCCGCTGGTGGACGATGATGTCCGAGCTGCGGGTGAACCTCTTCCCGCACTCCAGGCACTCGTAGGGCTTCTCCCCCGTGTGCACTCGCTCGTGCCTGATGAGGGGGGACCTGTCCTTGAAGAACTTCTCGCACGTCGAGCACTGGTAGGGCTTTTCCGCCATGTGGCTTTTCTGGTGGGAACTAAGGTCTGAGCTCTTCCCAAACTCCTTCCCGCACTCTTGGCATTTAAATGTCTTTCCTCCTCTGTGCAACCTCTGATGGCAAATGAGCTCCGACCTGTCCTGGAAGCGTTTCTTGCAGTGGGAACATTCGTAGAGACTTTCTTCTGCGAAAAGCTGCCGACCCCCCTTGCCACGGGTGACTTCGCCCTTCCCCGGGCATCCCTCCATCCCCTGGTTGCTCTCGCAAGCTCTCCCGTGGTTATTCTCTTTGG